GTGGCTCCGGCCGCAAAGTGGTGTTTCGCCGCTTCCACCAGAAACCGCGTAAGTAGAGGTCGAGTCCTCGCCAGCATAGTAGCCCCCACTACACCACCATGTCGAAACATACCGAGAACTTGTACTGACACCTGAGGAGTCGCTTCAAAGACCTTGCTGCGGCGGTTGGGAATCACTTGTTCCCCTAGCCACAAGCCTTCCAGGAGACTCTCCACAGCCTCCATCGAGTAGTCGCCGGCATCCAAAAACACACCCGCCAACTCCTCATCCTGTAGAAGGTGCTCGTCATCACCCTCCACGGCCAACTTTTCCAAGCGCTCTTGCTCCGCCATCGCAATAGCGGTCTTGCCACGCATCCTTCTTCTCACTCCAGGCTCATCGGCATGCACTGCTGGGCCTGGTACTTCAAAGTTGCCCGAGACCTCCTTTACATTTTCTACAGCCACCATAGTGGTGAGGTAGCTGCCCTCCTCGGTCTTAACCAAGAAGCCTCTGGCAACATCCATAGAAGGACAAAGCACTGTAGCCGCAACAACCTTCTCCAGGAACTCCTTCTTCAGCTTCCACGACCGCTGTTTCACGAACACCTTGGTCCCGAAAGGAGGGAGTCTAGGAAGACGGCCTCCAAGTTGGGTAACCACGTCATACTGGATCCTGGACACATAGTGCCGCATAGCAAAGCCCCACATTTCGAGACCCATCCCCGAAGATGACAAGTAGGTCCGGACGGCATTCTTGGCCCTACCCACCAAGGCTTCCACGCGTCCATTGGCCTTGTAGTCGTCCCCGGTAGTAGTTGTGCGAACAATGCCACGGTCGCGACATAGGGCTCGAAACCCTTTGCAGATGAACTCCCGGCCACGATCGGAGTGAATCCTTTGTACCGCGAGCCCCAACTTCTTCACCTGCATCAGTATGTCCTTCGTAGCCGCTAAGACTTCAGCCGAAGATTTTGAGCCCATTGTCACCACAAAGGGAACCTCGACGCACGACACCGCGTCCAGCTTGTCCTTTTCCACCCGCGCCTTCCACTTCTCAAGCTCTCGCTTGTTCCTTTCCTCCTCCGCCGCGTGCGGGGGCTCAACTTCATCCTCACCATCTCCCTCACAAACAGGATCATCTACATCAAGTAGTCCTACTCCACCACCATCGTCTTCCCCTTCGGGTTCATGCGGTTGTAGAAGCTTCCCCAACATGTCCGGCACCACCAAAGTGCCGATCAAGGCATAACGAATCTTCTTGACATACTCATCAACGCCGGGACGCGTTGGTCCAATCACATCTAGACTCAAGCACCAAGCCTCTGGAGCCACAATCCTCCGGTGGGCATGTCCTCGAAAGGATCCAGCCAAGCAGGCCTTGCAGTCCCTTCGAAAAGGGGTGTGGTCTCTCTTCAAGTGATCAAGGAACGTCTGGTCCAACTTCATGATCTTTTCCAGCGTAGACCCGGCCAAGCTTTCCTCGACCGCACGCTTGATCACCTGCTTAAGTCCGGGTGCCCATGCCGCCCAGGTTGCAGATCGGAAACCGTCTCCATCATGATCACGCTCATCTTCTGGCACCGACGAAGGGCCACGAACTTTCCTTAGCTCCCTGGGACACGGCATTGACGCGAGGATTCGTGTAGGCTTACGACGAGGGTGCCCGAGAGGACCTTGATCGAACTCCCACCAAAACCACT